ACTTTTTCAAAGAGGCCTTTATGGCCACCTTATAAAGGCAAACTACACATCACTTTCTAGCCCCTTATTCTGCTTTTTAAAAAAAATTCTCACCATGAGGATATGTTTTATTGATTTTAGGGAGAGAAAAGGGGGTAGTGGGGAGAGAGAGACAGATAGATCCATCAGTTGCCTCCCATATGTGCCCTAACTTAGAATCAAACCCACAACCTTTTGATGTATGATGTTGCTCCAACCAATAGAGGCCCCCTGGCCAGGTCTGCCTTTTTTCCCCTCCCTGTAGCATTCCCAAACATCTATGATATGTTATAAACTTGCATATTAGGTCTGTTTCCTCTATTAGAAGTTCCACAAGGGTAGGAATTATTTTTATGACTTATTTATTGCTGCATCCCTAGTACCTGGAATAATTCCCGACACACATTAGGCATTCAATAAATATTTGTTGAATGTATTTTTCCTTTGCCTCAAAGTTAAGCAATTCAGTTGATAGTTATAAGGCTCTCTTAGGGAAAACTAAGAAGCAGGACTACAAAACCCTCATGAGCTGGACCTTGAGACACTTCCAGCCTCTTTTGCCATTACCCTACTTCACTCCGGGTGGTAGACTGATGAATCTACCTTGTCTGAGCTCTGGCACTTGTCACATGCTGTTACCTGTGCCTAGAACTCCTTTTTTCCTCCACTTTAGGTAGTAAAACTGTCTCATTCTGGTATCAACTTCTATGGGATCACATTGATTCTTTCATCTTTCTACTTGTTTATGGTCTCCATAACATTCATTGGTGAATCCCAGCACCTAGCACAGTGGCTGGCCTGGAGTAACCCTCAATACATAAAAAAACCGAGCTGAATTGAAATCATATCCCATTCTGTACTGTCTTCTACTAAAGAAATATATATTTTTTCATTTTTAGGGAATGCTTTTAATGTATTTTTCCTCTAGAATGATGAAATGCATTTAAAGCTGGAGTGAAACCAGGGCAATGTATTAAGAGGCAAAATTTCTCAAAAGAGGGTGATGAAAAATCATAGCTTATCTGTGAGCTACCCTAGTGAGATCACAGCTTGGACACCGAGCTTAGTTTTATGCACCTTATGTTCTAGGTAACTGGAGGATGATTGCAAAAAGATGGCAGTTAGAAGGATTAAGTGTGATTATATATGAGATATAGTTAAAAGAAGACAGCATGCATATGTTCACTAACTATAGGGAATAGACACATCTCTAAATATCTGATGAACAAAACCACCCATGGGCTACATTTGAACAAAAGGATAAATAAGATGAGAAAATAAAAGAGAGGGGGAAATTTAGAAAAATTTCAGCATATCATAATATGGTGCTTACTGGCAACCAGAATTCTCCAATAACAGCCAAAAACCTGAATGATTATTGGCTGAGAAATTTGTGAAGGAGGCTGGAGCATTGGAGTACAGCTGAATCTCCTAACCTTCTTATACTTTGAATTGTAAAAATAATGCATCATTTTTCTTTTTTCTAATATTTCCATATTAGATGTGACTTTTTTCAGTTAAATGAATACCCCCAAGATTCTTGGCTGAAAGTCTGGATTATGATTGTTATCTACAGCAGAGATGAATTATGCGGAGGATTGGACTCTTCGACCTCTAAGGTCATTCTAGTTTTCAAATTCTGTTTCCTGTGTAGCTCCTGAGTGATTAACGAAGAGCTGTTGGGAGTGTTTGTGACTAAAGCAGAAGAGTATGTGATCATCAGGCTTGCCACACATGAGAATGGTCCAAAACTTTGTGATAATAATGGGAAGTTATTGCTAGGTGACTTTTGCCTGTTTACTTTATGGCCTAGCTGAATGTTATGACTGGTACAAATGTCACATCCTCCTACTGCTGTTTGTTCTTTGTGGCCATAACATAGTCACTCGTTGACCACATACTGTTGAATAAAACAAAAACAAAGTTCCCTTCATGGAGCTTACATTTATTTGGAGAAGACAGGTGATAAACAGAAAGACAAATAAATGGTGACTGTAATTTCAGGTAAAGCCATTTGCTGTGAAGAAGTGCTATAATGGCATAATCCACATAGGTCTTTCACAAAATCATCTTCCAGGTTTTGAGAACAAAGTCTGTTCACTTAATGCTCATTTCTCAAAAATCCCAAACACTTTATTTGCATTTCTTCAATATCACAAAAGGAACAACAGTGTTCTCTAGCAATATTTCTTTAAATTATTTTTTTCTCTTTTATTGACTTCCTCGCTCCTCTCTCTGACAGAGCCCAGACTCACTGAAGCCTCAAGTCCCCAGAGTTCATATTTCTCAGTGTAAAACAGGCTTTTGTTGTTAATAGTTTTTGGTTTGTTTGTCTTAGTGAGGATTTGGGAAATACTATCTATCTTAATTGTTCACATAATGAGTCATATAAGGTGGTAGGTTGCTTACTTTTTTGACTTATTTTTATTCTGCTAGTCTCAGTGACATGAGCTTGTGGTGGTGAACCACAGCCACATGTAGCAGATATTATTAGTACACTGCCAGTACCTCCATTACCTTACTATTTCAGTGCATACTAACTTGACTTCCAATGGCAGCTCTTGTCTTTCTGGCCACAGAGGCAATGTGCTCCCTCATATAGCATACCTGAAGAGCTAGGAACTTCGCAGTCTCTGAAATGAACCCCCAATCATTGACCAAGGTGAACTGGTGTTCAAACATCCTAGTTCATTTGTCTCTTTGGTGGGATAGGTTAGTCCAAGGGATGTGTTCCACATTGTTTCCTAATGTTCCCCAGGAGGATTAAGCTTCAATCACCCCTTGTAGTGATGTGTTTGATAGTGTACTTTTTTTTTTTGGTCTGTCTTCCCTTCCCTATTCTCTTACTGCTGTTTCCTGAAATTACCTCTCAAATAAACTACTTGCACTGGAATACCTGTCTCAGGATATACTTCTGGGAGAACTCAAACTAAGATACCATCTCCAGGTGATTATTAAGTTGCAGATCATATCTCTTCACTAATTGTTTTGGCACTTGGATGTCCTAGATCTAAGGTGAATGCATGTCTTAATGCTCATGATGAATGTTTATATTGTTTAAGATCATAGCATAGCTGACCTTCCACCCAGCAGACAGCAGAAGTAACACCCATATGCTCATACTAGGGTGCCCAACAATGGTTTAATAATCGTTACATACCACTGTTTAGATTTTGAGTATGTTTATGACATTTGCCTTTTGATTGCTAACTAGTAGATATAATGATTATAGGCTGATATTTTCTCAGGAGGAGTCTAGTTGTTGCACTTTCCTGTTTCATATGGTTCAGTGATTTCTTCTGCATTCTGTCTAGCTGCTGACACATGTGTTGAAATCTCTCATGCTGCTCAGCTTGAGAAAAGCTGGGACTGTTGAGCTGAATGTGTGTAAAAGCTAGAAAGAACTGTTGTACTATAGGAAACAGCCCTAAATTGACAGAAGATTTTGGTAGGAAGCCTGATCAGGAGTTTTAATCCCTGTGCACAAAATTAGCCTGCACACATATTGATCACATTCCTGCTGTTTTATCAGTAATTGTTTTCAATTTTACCTAGTTCTTCAAAATTATGTAATATTTTATGTGGTCCTGGTGTCTGTGTGGAGGTAACCTCTAAAATGACCATAATCCGCTGTGACATTCTCTGAGAGTCATGCTTCCTAGGACATCAGCATTTTACACCAGGATATTTTACAGGGCACCTTGATATTCTCTGTGGGGGTCAAATATCAGAAAGGATGAGAGATCTAAGACTTGGTGTAAACACTCCTATGTATTTAAGCAAAACCAAAGGGAAAAAGAGAAAAGGAAAGGACACCAAGAAAAGTAGATACATACCTCAGTGTTTGTCCAGTGTAATTGCTCTTTGTTTCTTCCTTTGAAATATAAAGTAAGCTTCACAAATATCTCATCTTCCTTGGTACTAGGGTTTGGAAGGAAGGAGGCAATCTTGAAAAAATGAGCTCACTATAAGAAGTAACATGGTGTACTAACAAGAGTCTGAAGGCCAGGATTCCAGACCCTGCTTATACGATGTACAACTTTGTGAAAATTATTTAGCTTCTCTGCAGTATTCAATTGCATTTACTGCAGAATTAAGTTTACCTCTCATACCCCACTAGACCGGGAGCATCTTAAGGTTATGAACTCGGTCTGATTCAGTGATTTCTCTAGTACCCACATGGCAGCTGACACAGACTATATTAGGAGAATGATTTTGAATTTAAAAAAAGAACAAGCAAAAGGGCCCCATGGTGGCGAGAGCTGGCTTTAATTGATATGCACCAAAGACATAAGAGAATAATTCATTCCATTATTCAAGATATATTTACTAAATGCCTATTATATACTAATATAATATATAGCTTTATATGTACGTATATTATACTATACATAATATATATTTCTAGGTGCTAGAAATACTGCAGTTACCAGAAAACCTACATCTCATAGATCTTTTATTCTAGTAGGCAAGAGGATAAAGAAAGATAAATTATAGACAATGCTTGATAATGACAAGTGCTAAGGCGAGAAATTATATAAAAAGTGGAGAAAGGAAAGGTGTGGAACCTGTGGTACAATTTTACTAAGAAAACGAGGGAATCCCAAGTGTAATAGTAAACCTGCATCAGGTAAGGGCCTGTGAGCCTCTGTTTTGACAGAAACATAAACAAAAGAAGGTTTGGTTTGGGAAGAAAGAAGAAAGTAAAACGCATCATAGCTTAAATAATTCCGTTACTTTTTCAATTTGGAAAAAATACAAAGATTGTGAGGTTTAAGACAAAAATTCCTCTCTACGGAAATTCTCGCCTCAGCCCCTCGGCCGAGACACAGGGTTTTCCGCCCCCAACAGCTCCTCCGCGCCAGGCGGAAGCGCGTTCTCTGTTCCTATTGGCTCCTGTGTTTGTTCCCGCAAGAACGGCCATCTTGGGCCCTGCTCCCACCGCGGAACCTTGTGGGAATTGTAGTCACCACTCTGCTCCCTCCGGTGTCGGGAGTCTTTGCCCTCCGTTCCTGGGCCCCTCAGGCAGCACCCCCGGTGGGCACACGCTCAGGCACTGCTCCTGTCCCGCGCTCCCTCCCTCTGTCTTTCACTTCCCAGCTGCCAAGATCTTGGAAGGTAGGGGCGGCGGGGCAAGCACACAAGTGGAACAGTGTTTCTGCAGCGCGGGTAGGGGTTGCACACGCGTCCTGTCATCACCTTGGCTGCCCAGTGGGGCGGGGCTGGGCCTGCGCAGCTCATTGGGAGGTGGGCGTCTTTCAGGAAGACCCTCACCTCCCACCCCCACCCCATCTCGGACCTTTTCAGAGCCAGTTACTGAGCAACGGCCCAAACTCTCATCTGCCCCGCCTTCGCTGCACTTTGTAAGTGGGTAAACTGAGGCACGCCACGCCAGTGTTTCCAAGGATGCCTCAGTTCCCGGCCCTGGTGGAGTAGTTGGCATTGGCCGCTTTTGGATGGTTTGTTTCATAGACAAGTAGCAGGGATCTCTACTACCTCAATGTACCTGTGTGAAACACCCAGCTCTGGGCTCCCCAAAGGGAGGTGGGATTGAACACGTGCTCGGGACAGGAACCAAGCAGGGCACTGGAAAGGCAGTATTTCACGAGAGAATTTCACGCTTAATTTTTTTTTTTTAAAGCATCGAATTCGTTACTGAGGGAGAAGTCATTAGTAGTCTGTTGAACTTCCTTATACCTATTTCATGGTTTTTATAAGAAAATATTCAAGGATTAAAAGGTATATCCACTCGGGGCCCTGGAGAAGGAAGCCCTTTAGTGGAAGTGGAGCTGGACTTAAGCTTTCTCTCTAGGATCAAATTCTGCCTCTGCTGTTCGTCCAGGGACTAGCCTCTCACAATGCTTATCTGGGAAAAAAGAACTTAAAGCTCCCTGCCCATGTGGCACAAAGATGCTACCTGGAGCCAAAATCTAAATGAGGTCTTGCTTGGGAAAGTTTGTCGCTTGCATTATTCTGAGGTCTCTCAGAAATGTGCTGTTGTTTCAGAAAGCCTCTGACCTAGGTCCAGTGTAGGACTACAGAGGGCTGCCCCTCTCGCATCTCTCAGCAGAGGCTTCTGGGAGTTTGAGTCTTGTCTAGTGTTTCCCGGGCAGGGGGTGGGGCTGGTCCTCCACCTCCCATTTTTTTGTGCTGCGAGGTGTCTCCTGGGAGTTGAAGTCTCACTTCCAGCGGTTCTGTGTAGCAGCCCTTGACTTGCAAGTACGATGTCATGTGGCCCTGTGCTGCTTGCTGTTAGCCTTTGGGTCCACCCGCTGTGAGCTGGAGCTAGAGAGAGATGTTTAGTGAAGACGTCTTTTGTTGTTATTGACTGAATGTGCTGTTCCAAGTACTAGATAGGGGATTATTGTATACACTTTTCCATGTATTAGGGATTAGGCATGTTTTCAAACAGCTAACAGTCAGTGTAAATTACAAAGTGTGTTCATATTATCTCTTAATGACATTGCATTTCCCATTGGCAGGTGAAGAAAAAAACTTGAGAAGATGATTTATTCAGGGTCACACACCTAATAATAAAATGAAACATATTTAACAAGTAAATAAATAAATAAATAAAATATGATACTTTATTATATAAAATGCATATTCTTATATAAATATATAATATATTTCTATATTATATGTATTCGTATATTATATATGAACATGATTCATTGATATAATTATAATCATGAATAAAATTATATGTAAAGTTATACAAATGTATATGAATATATAATTATATGTTCACAGTTATTTATATCATATATAAATTATTTATATAATGTACAAACACATATTTAATACACATATATTTTAATATATAAATATATGTGATATGTATAAATATATTGTATAGATGTATTATGTATAAAGATATTATATATATATTATAAACATATAAAATATAGAATATATACTTATGATACTTTAGTTATTGTCATGTCATTTAGTACCCTCAAAAGCTATAAGTAAGATATAACCATTTTCATATGTACTTTATTTTTATTATTAAAATTTTATTTAATTTTATTTTTAAAGTATTTTTATTGATTATGCTGATAGTTTTCCTAATTTTTTCCCTTTATCCTCCTCTGCCCTGCCCACCCAATGCTCCAGCATTTCTCCCCCTTAGTTCATGTTCATGGGTTGTACATATAAGTTCTTTGGGATCTCTGTTTCCTATACCATTTTTTATTTCTCTCCATCTATTTTATGCCTACTAATTATGCTTCTTCTTCCCTGTACCTTTTCCCCTCTATTCTTCCTTTCTTCCTCCCCACTGAACTTCCTCTCTGTGATGTCCATTTCTCTGATTCTGTTCCTGTTCTAGTTGTTTGCTTAGTTTTTGTTTTCATTGTTTTTCTTTTCTTTTAGGTTCATTTGTTGGTAGTTGTGAGTTTGTTGGCATTTTACTGTTCATCATTTTGATCTTTTTCTTAGATAGGTCCCTTTAACATTTCATATAATAAGGGCTTGGTGAAGATGAATTCCTTTGACTTGACCTTATCTGGGAAGCACTTTATCTGCCCTTCTATTCTAAGTGATAGCTTTGCTGGATAGAGTAATCTTGGATGGAGGTCCTTGCCTTTCATGACTTCAAACTCTTCCTTCCAGCACTTTCTTGACTGCCAGGTTTCTTTCGAGAAATCAGCTGATAGCCTTATGGGAACTCCTTGGTAGGTAACTCTCTCCTTTCTTCTTGATTCTTTTAGGATTTTCACTTTATCTTTAATCTTGTGTAACTTAATGATGATGTGGCTTGGTATGTTTCTCTTTGGGTCCAACTTCTTTGGGACCCTCTGGGATCTCTGGGCTTCCTGGAAGTCTATTTCCTTTGCTAGATTGGAGAAGTTTTCCTTTATTATTTGTTCAAATAAGGTTTCCATTTCTTGCTGTTCTTCTCCCTCTGGCACCCCTATAATTTGGATATTGGAACGTTTCAGGTTGTCCCAGAGGTTTGTAAGACTTCACTTTTTTGAATTCTTATTTCTTCATTTTGTTCCAGTAGGATGTTTATTTTTTCCTTTTGTTCCAACTCATTGGTTTGGCTCCTGTTTTCCTTCCTGTCACTGTTGGTTCGCTGAATATTTTGCTTTATTTCACTTTGGGTATCCTTCATTTTTTTTTTTTTTTTTTGACCAAGCTCAATCAGTTCTGTGAGCATTTTGACTACCAGGGCTTTAAATTCTCCATTAGATAGGTTGGCTGTCTCCTCATGGTTTAGTTCTCTTTTTCATGCACTTATGTCAAAAGTATCCTGTTTCCACAAGGAGTCCAGATTCTGGAGGCCTCATAGTACTGTGTGTGACCTTTAGGCTCATGATTTCTTTCACTTGGTATGCTTTGTCCTTGCACTATAGCTGTGCATATTTGATGGAGTGCTTTAGGAAATATTACTATGTCCCTATCTCTTTGTATGTACATGCAGTTTCAATATGCTCCATTTCTGTTTTGGCTCCCAATATTTCTCTTTTCTTTTTTCAGACACTTGAGAACAAAATATGACACTGTGTTTGCATTCACATATGTTAAAATCTAATACTCTAATGTAGGATGTCTGAAACGACCATGGGTTTTTTGAATTATACAAAAGTTTTGTTTCCTATTAGAAAATATATGAACCCTTTCAATTACATATTCACAGATAATAAAGCAGGCAACCCTCACCTCTTGTGTGTGAAAGATGATTTCTACTTAATAATTATATAATGAGGTAACAGCTTTGTAAATTAGGTTCTAAACATGGCTGAGATAATCACTATGGGAGATATTCTTCCTGTCACCCTCTATTCACTCACTCCCTTCATCCCATCTAGCACTCTCCCACTGACACTCTGATTGTTCAGCTTCTAGAACAGTGTGTGACCACTGGTAGACACTGGAAAAAATAATTGCCAAATGGCATTCACAAGCACGCCTGAACTCTGTTCCCACATCTTTTTCTTGAATCTCAGTTTTCTCTTTTAATGTAGCTTTGAAATATAAGGTAGGGCAAAAGTAGGTTTATAGTTGTGTGTGGGACACAGAGTTTAGTTTATTGTTATTTATTATGAATACAAACAACTGTAAACCTACTTTTGCCCCACCCTGTATAAGATGTAGCATGTTACTTTCCTTTCAATGTCTACATTGCAGAGCAAAATCTCAGCCTTTGAGATCATCCTCTAAGGGGCTGTTTCTTTGGGAATGTCAATGTCTGTAATTTTTTAAGATGAGAAATAGATCCAAATAGCAAAACGTAGCAGAGAAGAAATAGAGTGGTAGTCTGCAGGCTTATGATTTAATTCCCAGCCCTATCTCTTAGGCTGGTTACTTAGCCCTTGGCTTTTTCTATAAATAGGATAATAAGCATTTTTACCTCAAAGTGATGATGAAGATTAAATAGGGTATTGCACTTAAAGCTTTCAGCATGTTGTCAGGCACTCAATAGCTTGTATTCAATAGATGAATAGAACCCCTTCTTTTATTAAATGTAAACTTGATATTTGAAAATATATCAGATTTACTCAAGATTTAAACTTGAGTCAGAAACCTATTTTATAAAAGGATTTGCCATTTGTTTTCTTAGAATGGTAAGCCTGGCCATCACATTTAATATATGAAGTTACCCACAACTCTTGATAACCCGTCTTGTCAGCTCAGTGACACTCTCTTTTGTGGGCTGAGAGAGAGCGAATCTTTTGGCTCTGCTCTGCCTGCTTAGAGGTTCCTGATCTGTTGTTCCATCTATGTGTTAAATCTTGGATTGAAAAGAAGCCTGCTTCTGTTAGTGGGGGCTTTTGTCCACTTCTAGAAAGGCTGAGTCTATTCCAAAAGCCTCAGGGTTAAAGTGGAGCAGTTGTCCTCCAGCTGGGGAGAAATCCCAGGGCAGTGGTCATGTGGACCTGGCAGTGCTCCTTTCTAAATCTGGCAGCTTCAATAGCCATGAAGTTACTGATAAGGAGGTGAGTTAGAGAAAAGGGGTGATGCAGGGGACAGGGAAGAAAAAAAAGAAATGAGGATCACAGCAAAAGCAAATTACAGATAGACAAAGGAAAGAACTGAGGTCCTCAGTATCCTAAATATGTATTTATTTATCTCATTTATCCTCCTAGCTCTGTGCCAGACACTGTGCC